AAGCTGCCTCCTATCTTCCAACAATAAAAGGGCACTGACTGAGGGGGAGACACTTGTCAAAAATGTTCTTCCTAAATATGCTCAGAATTAATGTTCACCATATCCAGCCCGCCCCTCCTCCTCCTGGCCGGCATTTCGCAAAAAGGATCCCTTCCTCAAAATTAGGTCGGGTGAAGCCGGTCGGGCTCTCAGCACATTGATTGAAAGAGAAAAATCTAAGCTCACAAGGAGTCTGAACGAATTGATGAATGAATTGGTATTGTTTTTGCCTTTTCAAGAGTGTATCTCCTCACATTCATATGTTCTACCCAATAATATTCCCTGTTTGCCCCTGTCTTCTGTCCCGCCTCTTTCCCGTCTATTTTCGTGCTCTATTTTATCTTATGAGTGTCTTTTCACTAGTTCAGGCTACTCGGTGTATCCTGCACCGAAGATCGAGTAATACAATTGATCAGAAAGTGCTAACTGGCTGTACCTGCTCCAATTTGAACCATTGAGGATTTTCACGAACTTTTCTTGCGATTGAAGTTGGAGGTCGGAGATGGAGGATGCCGAGAACAATTAGGACTCTGCAAAAATCATGGTCATGTTTAGCTGTAGATATTTTTGGATTGGTTCTTTATAATTTTGGTGAGTACGTAATAATAGGGCCACGTTTCTCTGTCGCAGGCGGAATTTGAGAGCAAATGCAACTCTAAAGGGAAGAGTTCTCGAGCGACTGACGGGAGTCCTTTGACCTGCGTGAAGTGCATCGGTAGGAAGGCATTACACAAAAAGTTTTCGGGCACTCCTTCTCTTTTCCATTTTTATTTGAAGTTCAGAATTATGATATTTGTATACCTGACCCTTCCCCACTCTTAACATCTCGAGAAGGAATTTCGGAAGCATGCCGTGAAATTGGTGTGGAACTGGTATCATAGGTTGTGGTGGTGCTCACACGCGCATGGTTCATTGATGAACTCTGGGCCGGACTCCATCCACGCTAACTAGGCCTTCTACCTGTCCGGGGTCGTAAATTGATACCAGCAACTTTGAGGCATAATAGGTCGCCGAGGTCAAATTTTTCCATGCGAATTGCGCATCAGTTCGCACCCTCAGGAGGTCCGTGGGTCCCTCAACTAGGTGAATTACTTCTTCTTCGACCTCCATTCTAATCGTAAAATCCTCCTTTGAATGTCTCTG